AGGACTTCCCAGTCCTGCGTCTGCACTCTGACAGGGGCGGTGAGTTCTCCTCAGACCTCCTTGCGGGGTTCTGTCGAGACGAGGGCATCCGCCAGACGTTCACGCTTCCGGCCTCTCCTCAGCAGAATGGGATTGTTGAGCGTCGCATTGGCTTGATCATGGAGGTGGTCCGATACGCTGCGCATCAGCTCAACCTCTGGCCCCGTGTCTCTGTGCCAGAGACCTCGCCCACCCTCCGGTGGACGGGGAAGGCTGGTAATGCGTCAGCGTTTCGGGTCTGGGGCGCGCTCTCCCTTGTTCGGGTTCTGGAGGTGCTGTGCCTGGGGGTGCTGGTTCAGGGGGTGCTCCGACTGGGGGTGCTGGTTCTGGGGGTGCTGCGCCTGGGGGTGCTGACTCTGGGGGTGTTGCGAGTCCTCGTGACGGTGGCGTTGGGGGTGACCCTGTTGGAGGTCCTGGCGCTAGAGGTACTAGAGGTGCTTCTGGTGCTGGAGGTGCTAGAGCTACCTCTACTGGAGGTGCTGGAGCTGGACAGCCACCGCAGCCTGATCTACTTGAGACGCTCTCGCCGCAGGCGATTCGTGCGTGGGTCGTTCGGCGAGCCAGTCCTGGTGGTGGAGGGTATGGTCCTGCTGGTGCTGGAGCTACTAGTCCTGGAGGTGCTGCTGGTGCTGGAGGTCCTAGAGGTGCTGCTGGTGCTGGAGCTACTAGTCCTGGAGGTGCTACTGGTGCTGGAGGTACTGGAGCTGCTAGTATTGGAGGTACTGCTGGAGGTACTAGAGGTACTACTGGTGCTGGAGGTACTGGAGCTGCTAGGCCTGGAGGTACTGGGGGTGCTACTGGTGCTGGAGGTGCTTCTGGTGCTGGAGGTACTGGAGCTGCTGCTGGTGCTGGAGGTACTGGAACTGGAGGTACTGGAGCTGCTGGTGCTGGAGGTACTGCTGGTACTGGAGGTGCTGAGGGTCCTGGAGCTGCTGGCACTGGAGGTGCTGGTACTACTGGTGCTGGAGCTGCGGGAGTTGCTGGTCCTGGAGGTGCTCGTACTAGAGGTACTGGAGCTGCCAGAGCTGGTGGTGTTGCTCGTGCTGCAGGTGCTACTAGAGCTGCTGACCCTGGAGGTGCTGGTGCTGCTCGTGCTGAAGGCGCTGGAGCTGGAGGTGCTGGAGCTGCTGGTCCTGGAGGTGCTCGTACTAGAGGTGCTGGAGCTTCTGGAGCAAGTGGTACTGCTGGTGCTGGAGGTGCTGGAGGTGCTACTGGAGCTACTGGCACTGGAGGTGCTGGAGGTACTGCTAGTGCTGGAGGCACTGGAGCTGGAGCTGGAGGTACTGGAGGTGCTGGAGCTGTTGGTCCTGGAGGTACTCGTACTGGAGGTGCTACTGGAGCTGCTGGCACTGGAGGTGCTGGAGGCACTGCTGGTGCTAGAGGTGCTGGCGCTGCCGGAGCTAGTGGTGCTGGAGGTGCTGGTGCTACTAGTGCTGGAGGTGCTGCTAAGAGTACTGGTGGAGCTGCTCGTGCTGGAGGTACGGGGGCTGCTGGTGCTCTTTGCCACCTTCTTAGTCTTCCGCCAGGTGCTACTGACTTCCCTGCGGCAGGTACTACTCCTTCGTTACTGTTTCCACTGGCAGACCAGTCTCAGCCGCCGCTGCTACCGCACTCCCCACTTCCTACTCTTGCTCCTTACACTGCGGTGACACAGTTCCTGTCTAAGCGTCGAGAGCCAGAGACTCGTGCTTCTACCCCTGAGCGTCGAGAGCCTGAGTCTAGCTTTGACCTTGAGCCCGAGCCTAGAGCTGCTGTCCGTACTCGTATTCCTCGTATTCGTCGTTAGCGGGCTATCCAAGGCACTCACGATATGACACCCCGTCCTTCCTGTTCCACAGCGTGTTATCCTGCCGTTACCTCCTGCGTCCTCTCTTCCTGACGTTGCTGACCCTCCGTCTGACCTTGCTCGTGCATCCAGTCCGACTGTTACTCGCTTTCTTGCTACGGTGGTGACTGACCCTTCGTTCTCGTCTCCTGCTGCGTCTGCCTTAGTCGCTGAGCTCGTTGACTTTGCTGCTGTGTACCGCCTAGACTACCTTGTGAGTCTTGTTTCTGACCCTTTCCCTGCCTGTCCTCCGTTCGTCGGGGGTGAGACTGCCCTTGGCTATGACGTTATTGAGGACAGGCAGGAGGAGCTGGAGTGCCTTGCGGTCGTTGCACCCCATCTCGCGACCATGCTACTTGCCCCTGAGGGAGACCCGGATGCACTTGACATCCCCACCCCCGCTCTTACAGAGAGGCGATTTCGGGTGAGTACTCCTCTCGGTGGCAGACAGCCATGGACGCAGAGATGGCTTCCTGGAAGTCCACAGGCACCTACGTCGACGAGGTTCCCCCACCTGGGGCGAACATTGTCAGTGGCATGTGGATTTTCAGAGTGAAGCGGCCGCCGGGTTCTCTGCCTGCCTTCAAGGCATGTTACGTTGCTCGAGGCTTCAGTCACCGTGCAAGGGTCGACTTCTTTCAGACCTTCTCCCCTACCCCGAAAATGACCACTCTTCGGGTGTTGCTACACGTTGCAGCACAGCGTGACTACGAGCTGCACTCCCTCGACTTCTCGACAGCTTTCTTGCAGGGTAGCCTTCACGAGGCCATCTGGTTGCGCCGTCCAGAGGGCTTCACTGGGTCGTTTCCTGAGGGTACCCAGTGGAGCCTACGGCGACCAGTGTACGACTTGCGTCAGGCGCCCCGCGAGTGGCACGACACACTGAGGACGACACTTGCGGCTCTTGGGTTTGCTCCTTCGACTGCTGACCCGTCGCTGTATCTACGCACCGACACTACTCTGCCGGCGTTCTACATCCTTGCGTACGTCGACGTCTTGGTTATTGCTACTGCTGACACTGAGGCACTGGCCCTAGTGAAGGCGGAGCTGCAGGAGAGACACACGTGTACTGACCTGGGTGAGCTGCGGAGCTATCTTGGCTTGCAGATCACCCGGGACAGAGCACGGCGCACCATCACCCTCACTCAGTCACACATGGTGCACCAGGTCCTTCAGCGCTTCGGCTTCACGTGGTCCTCGCCACAGCCCACTCCTCTGTCTACCGGCCACTCGCTCTCAGCTCCACATTCGGACGAGTCCGTAGAGCCAAGTGGTCCGTACCCAGAGCTTGTGGGTTGCCTCATGTACCTGATGACGTGCACACGACCTGACTCCGCGTACCCTCTCAGCCTCCTGGCTCGCTACGTGGCACCCGGTAGACACCGAAAGGTGCACTTTGATGTTGCGAAGAGGGTACTCATTACTTGTGCAGTACATCGGGCATGTGGCTCGTGCTTGGAGGACGGGTTTCAGTGGTACTCACAGGACACTCTGACGCTTCTGGGGCCGACGACCAGGCGACTCAGCATTCGTCACAGGGTTACACCTTCAGTCTTGGCTCTGGTTCTGTCTCGTGGAGGTCCACTCGTTCTTCTTCTGTGCTTGGTTCCAGCTGTGAGGCCGAGATCTACGCTGGGGCCATGGCTGCACAGGAGCTTCGCTGGCTGACCTACCTGCTGACCGACTTGGGGGAGCGGCCTCGTTCTCCTCCAGTTCTGTACGTCGACAACAAGGCAATGCTTGCCTTGTGTCGCGAGCAGAGACTGGAGCACAGAACGAAGCACATTGCTCTTCGCTACTTCCTTGCGCGTGAGTTGCAACAGCGTGGTCAGCTGCGCCTTGATTACGTGGCCTCTCGGGCCAACACTGCTGATGTTTTCACCAAGGCCCTTCGGTCTGGTGATCATCAGCGTTTCTGCACTGCTCTTGGGCTTGTGCCCATTTTGCCTCACCTGCTGGTTCCTTGACTTGCTCTTGTTGTACACTGATATATATCTTTATACCTGCTTGTTTACTCTTGCTAGGTTGTGATCAGTGTACTGCCTTGCTATTATAACTCTGCATGTGAATTGGCCTTGTGGCCGCTTGCTTGTGCTCAGATTGTGTGGTGTCCTTGAGATCCACCCTGAGCTTTGTTTTGCTTTGTTCTTTTGCTTGACTGGTCTTGTGACCGTTCGTTGTGTTTGCTATCCCCCACTTTGCCTATGGGGGTGTGTCAAATTCCATTTGTATGCTTCTAGGTTGTATGGGGCATACTCTAATGAGTACAGCCCTTTAGGGTTTCATACTTGTACTCATCCAGCTGCTCAATACAATCATTCCTGCCTGCATATTTTAACACCTGTGACCGTTGTTGTTCTTGCTATCCTCCACTTTGCCTACGAGGGTGTGTCGAAACTCTATGTTTATAATTTGCTAGGCTATATTGGGGCTAGCCTTAGGGTGTACAACATTCCTAAGGTTTCATACCTGTACACCTGTTCCTTGGTCAAACTCCTTCCTGTTCAGTAGATTAATGTGGAAAGAGAGGAGAGTAGGGATCACGTGGAAAGGGAGTTAAGTGGGAAGCACGGAGAAAGCGTTTAACGTGGTAGCACATGCGAGGGAGGTAAGAAGAACGTGCGTTGAAGCCGAGGATGCTTATTACGGTACATCAGAGTCCTTTCCTCACTCCGTCGGCCCCGCCCCTTGTTCAGACCCTGTTGCGAGTGCACGAGAAGCGGAGGGATGGGCAAGTGACCAGTGAGTCAAGTGGAGTGAAGGGATGGGCAGGCAGACCAGGGGAAACATGCATAGCAGGCGAGAGAAGTCAGGAAGTTGTTCATTATGGGGCAAGATCTGGTGCTGCATGTTTTTCAGCATTTGAAAATATTCGGTCTTTAGATAAGATGAAGTAACAGAACATCCAACAACATTGCCAAATCGCACAAAGACACACATCCACCAGCCCACAAGCAAGAAACCTAAGAAAACAACCTCAACCACTCAGAAAAGCCTACCTTTCAGTACCATCAGCTGCACTTCCACTGCCCTCCTCCAATCTTCCATCATAGCTTCTTATTCCCATCGACGGTAACTGTGGCGTTCCTAGCAATGGAGCTGGGAAGTGCACACGCCATGCACCTCGTGAAAGAGCCTAGGCCTTGGCATCCTTGGCATCGGAGGGGCCTGCCTTGCGGGGGCTGTTGTCGGGCTTCTTGTTCTTGCCAGTGATGCGATCACGAATGTTCCTGAAGAAGCTCTTGATCGCATTCGCCGTCCTCTTCAGCACCCCCGGCTTCTTCTCCTCCTTCTTCTTCTCCTCCTTCTTCTCCTCGCCCTTCTTCTCGTCCTCGTCAGCCAGCTTGCGTGGAAACTCAATCCCTTCCTCCTCATCCCCCTCTTCATCCTCAACCTCCTCCTCCTCGTCACTCTCCATCCCCTCCTCCTCCTCCTCCTCCTCCTGAAGCTCCCTGGGCATCTCAAGTCCGTCAGCCTCATCACCCCCCTCGTCCGCGTCACCATCCATTCCACCTGCTTCCTCCTCGCTCTCGCTGTCCTCCACAAGAGCTCTCCCCTCCTCCTCCGCCTCCTCCGCCTCCTCCACATCCTCGCCCTCCATCTCCTCATCTTCGTCCTCCACTTCCGCCAGCACTCTGCCCTCTTCCTCCTCATCCGCCTCCTCACCCGCCATCTCCCCGCCCTCCGCCTCTTCCTCCTCCTCCACGTCTCCGCTCTCCACCAGCATCCTGCCTTCCGCTCCCTCAATCTCCTCCTCCTCCTCCTCGCCATCGTCCACCTCCTCATCCTCCTCCTCCTCTCCCTCTGCAAGCATCCTTCCCTCCTCGCTCTCCTCGCTTTCCTCGCTCTCCTCCTCCTCCTCGCCCACCTCGCTCGCCTCGCTTTCCTCCTCCCAGTCGCCCTCAGCGAGCATGCGCCCCTCTTCCTCCTCCTCGTCCCCTTCCCCCTCACCCTCCGCCATCTCCCCCACCATCTCTTCCGCCGCGCTCTCCTCCTCCGCGCCCTCCTCCGCCAGGCTCCTGCCCTCCGCGCGCTCCTCAACGTCCGCCTCCCACTGCGCCTCGTCGTCTTCCAGAGCCCACCCGTCCGCCGCGTCGCCCTCGCCCTCTTCGAGCGCCATGCGCGGCCCGCCGGTGACAAGGCCGGTGGCGTGGCTGCCAGTGGTCCACGCAGCGGGAGGGAGCTCGCTTGCCACACCACCGTCGCCGCCGCCACTCCTCGCAGCAGCGGCGCTCACCACCACCGACGCGGCCGGCGCGGCGAGCAGAGGCAGCAGAGTGGCGAGGAAGAGCAGCAGCAGCGGCGAGGGCGCGCGCGCGCTTCCAAGGCGGGCCATGGTGGCGGGAGAATGAGAGGTGGTGTGGCGCACGCTGGGGGCGACGGTTGCGCGCAGCTGGGAGAGCTCGGCGGGGCTGGGATCGATGGCGCTGCAGGCTTAAAGTCACAACGACGAAAGCTTGCTTTATTCTACGGCGGTCTGAAGCTGGTCTGAAATGGAGCTGGTTCTCGTGTGCCTGGATGAGGGAAGCGAAAGGTGATGCCTTTCTCATGGCCTAGCCAGCTCCATTTATGCTGCCCACGGTCACCGAGCGTGCTGTGCGATGGCCACCGTGACGGGCTTGCCTGGCGTGGCTCCGCCCGCGAGTTGCGGCGAGGCCGAGCGTGAAGTCGCGCTGCGGCAGCCGTGTGCTTTGCCGCGATCATTGCCGGGTTGACGCCGCGGAGAAATGTCACGCACCCAGTCGCTGGGTGGGTGGAATAGAGGCGCACGGTGACAGTACGGCTGATGAAGCCTGTCGCTTGCTTGCGCTGGGGAGTTCAAGGGATCAACGAGGGCGGGGCGCGCAATTATGTGTCAACTGCGCCCAGACTTGGCTCCCTACTATTTCGCACAAGGCAGGGAAATGAGAGGGGGAATTATTCTCGCCCAACAGCACGTGACGCGTCCCCGTATACACAAACTTGTTATAAACACGATTCTATCAACTAGTGCTAAGTTGTTAGGCCCCTTGGCCTAAATCCGCTAAAGAATAGCGGGGTCGACTAAGTCGAGGATGAAAGCGCGGCGGAAGACTTTGGCGAAAGAACTATTAGCGAAATAGGAGAAGAAGTTACTGAGTAATTGAAGAGTTGAATGAGAATTGGTTGATATTGGTGGATACAAGCAAGGATGATATAGCATGCAAGGTCGAATGTCGGAAAGTACGTCGTGGGACTAGAAAGTAGAAGCAAGAAAAGTAGAGTGCCACGTGGCACAAGGAAATCAAGGAAGATAAGGATAAGGGTGAGTTGGAAAGTACTGTTCAAAAGGAACAGTAAATCCCCCCTTAACACTACCCCCCTCCCAAGGAGGCGACGTCCGCGGCGCCTGCAGACTGAAGGTACGCTTGGAGGCAAGCGTTGTCGGGAGACAGCGAGGACGAAGGAACCCAGCTGTCGTCGGCTGCATCGTAACCACGCCAACGAACCAAGAAGTCGATGAAAGAGACACCCCCCTGGAGACGGCGACGGTGCCTGAGGATGCGCTGGATCTGGTAGTCGGGCTCGTCAGTGTCAACAGCTACCGGCAGTGGAGTGCGATCACGGCCCGAGAAGGTGGCGTTGGAATCGGTGTAAGGTCGAAGGAGAGATACGTGGAATGATGGGTGCATGCGGAAATGAGCGGGAAGGCGGAGGCGGTATGCGACTGGACCTAGTGCGCGCTCAATGACGAATGGACCAATGAAACTTGGACGGAGCTTGCTGTCCTGTGGCAGTCGGAGGTTGCGGCTATCCAAAAGGACACGGTCGCCGACTGCAAACGACACCTCACGATGACTGCGGTTGGTGGTGCGTGCCATGCGTGCATTTGCGAGCTCAAGGTGCTTCCTCACGTGATCATGAATGAAGGTGAGATGCTGGTGGAAGTTGTCCGCACGAGGGACTGTGGGTGTGAGATTGACACGAGTGGGGACATTGGGGTGCTGACCGTATAGTGCGAAGAACGGTGACATGCCTGTGGACGAGTGGTGCGTGTTGTTGTAAGCGAACTCGGCCATGCTCAGCTTCTTGTCCCTGTTGGTGCAACCCTACGGTTTGCACTCGGCTTGTTGTCCGTGTGCGTGAATGTGTGTGTGTATGGAATGGTATGAGGGCATGGGATAATATATATTTCATGCTTATAATTGTGTGTGAATGTTGAGTCATGATGTCGAGTGTGTGTGTCGAGTCAATAGCGAGTTATCGCTAGACGTGTGTTACGCGGTCGTTTTTGTCTCGCGCGCGGTTTCTATTTTGTCGTGCGCGGTTTCTATTTTGTCCTGTGTCGAACGTTCGGCGTGTCGCAGGTGTGTGCAGCAGACCCATCAAGAACTCAAGGATGAGTTTGTGATGAAGAGCCCGAGCCTTGGTGTCAAGCCTCAAGTGATTTCGAAGCTCGCCAAAAAGGTACACCTCAAGATATTGAAGATAGTTACATTACTTTGTGTAGTGTAACATTTCACTTGGTGTAGGCCCTAGTGAAGGGTAGTTTCGAGACCCTTCGTGGTTGGGGACAGTGTGGCACTGTTCCACATCACTGTACCTCGGCTCTTGGGGTTTGTAGGAGCTGGGAGTCATTCCCAACTCGTAACTCTTCCTATCTTGTGTTCTAAGACTATAGTGGCTGCCATAGTACCGTTCGTTCAAACCGACGCTGTGTCGTCAATTCTTTATCAAATCGTGCAAGCTGAATTGATAATTGTAGACGACGTGAAGACGCTCCAGATCCAATTTGAATCAAGTCATTTGCAGCTGTGAGCAGAACGCTATCAACGTTTGAAGCCGCTGTGCAGAAATCCGTCTGTGCTCTCTATCTTTCGTTTTAGGCATATTCAAGCCTATTGTGACTATAACAAGTGGTATCAGAGCCCCTTGGAGCAGTTTCGACAATGTCTGGACCTGAGGAAAGGGGTGGCAGAGGTGCTGGTGGCAGTGGAGAAGCTCAAGCTCAAGGCCAACCCCGTGATTCAGCCATGGCGCCCATGCAACCAAGTCTTGGCCCACCTAGGGATGAGCCTAGGGTGTTTGGGCTTGACAAGTTCAACGGTGACAACTTTGCTGAATGGTCCTTCAAGATGGAGAACATCTTTGACCACTATGTCCTGCTGGAGGTGATGGAAGGAACGGAGAAGCGCCCCGAGAACGACCCGGAGAAGAGCCCGTGGGTGCGGAAGAGCGCACAAGGCTATCTCTTACTTGGGCAAGCGTTGGGGAGCAGTCAGATCCGTCACATCAAGCCATTCCAGCGTGAACCAGAGAAAGGACCAAAGGCATGGGCTGCTCTCAAGGGTGTACATGCTCCTGCAACAGCGGCGGTAGCGGTGGTGTTGGAACGGCAAATGGCGACACTACGAATTGAAGAAAACGAAGCGGTTGAAGAAGGGGTGCAGAAATTCTTCGACTTGTTGACGCGGCTTGAGGGAGCTGATTTGAACTACAGTGAGCTCCAAAAGAAGACCAAGTTGCTGGCCTTACTCCCAGAGTCATGGTCCTCGCTCATCATCAACCTTAATCGCGACTTGCCCCGCCTCTCGCTTGAAGACGTGAAGCGAGCTATCCTTCAAGAGGATTTCCGCCGCCGTGAGTTGGCGAGTGCGGATGGCGCTGGGGCAGCGAGCATCGGCCGTGGATATGGTCGAGAAAGAGGCAGAGGACGAGGGGGAGGAAGGTTTGGTGGCAGCAACTTCGGCGGAGGCCGCAGGAGTGGCGGTTACGGCAGCGACGACAAGAGCTACGGACGCGGTCGCGGCCGATTCGACGGCGAGTGTCACTATTGCCACAAGAGCGGACACATGTGGCGCGACTGCTACAAACTCCCTGATGGTTGGACCCCTGCTCAAGGCCAAGAGGGTAGAGGAGCAGGAGGAGGGAGAGGACGAGGCCGTGGAGGCCGTGGCGGTCGCGGTGGCGGAGCTGCAAACATGAAGAGCGGAGACAACGACAAGGACCCGAGCGACGATCGATACCCGGGTCTATTCTACTTCGTGTCGACGCAAGTACCGGCTGGTCCAGAGAAGGATGAAGGCTTTGAGGAGCCAGCAGCTGTGGGGAAGGTGACCCTACACCCCCTGGACTATTGGGTGATTGATAGTGGCGCTACCTATAGCATGACACCTCGCCCGGACTTGCTCACCGAACTCGAGCCGTCACCGGTGAAGCATGTCACATCGGCTTTGGGGCAGCGAGCAGAGGTGAAAGGCATGGGCAAGGCCATGTTCAAGGGTGCTGATGGGAAGATGGTGGGCCTCAAGAACGTGCTTTGGGTGCCCAGCCTTGCTGCAAACCTGATTTCCGTGCGGCGGTTGGCAAAGGCCGGCATGGACACGAACTCGAAGGGAGCCAAGACCTACACCGCAAGGCTTGGCGATCGAATTCTTTGGGACCTTCATGAGGACAGGGATGTCTACAACGAGATGTGGCAGATCCCAGTGGTCCCTATGCCTAAGGAGAGGCAAGTGGCAGCAAGCATCAGCACCAAGGATGGAGCGGTCGGTAGCGACGATGGCGCGAACGGTCGCGCTAAGGAGAATGAGCTCAAGAAGAGCAAACCTGGAGGGACCAGCAAGTTCAGTGAACCTAAGGAGAGTGGTGCAGCAACCAAGGAGCAGCAAAAGGGTGAGGAGAACCCAGAGGCAGCAGCGGAGGAGGACTACGGAGAGAGTATGTGGGGCGCTATTGCGAGCGCGGCATTCTCCAATCCAACTTCGGCTACGGGGGAGTGTGATTGGCTCACCTTGCATCGGCGCATGGGGCATGTGGCCCTGCCCATCTTGCAGCAGCTAGTGAAGAATGAGATGGTTGCTGGCATACGTGTGAAGGGGGAGCCCGATGAGGTGCTTGGCTGCCCGACGTGCATTCAAGCCAAGTTCACCCGGTTTCCGTTCCCTAGTTCGGAGGCAACGGCAAAGGCACCGCTTGATGAGGTGGTGATGGACGTGGTGGGCCCCCTGAAGCTTGGAGCTGCTGGAGCTGAGTATTTTCTCACCATTGTCGACGTCTACACCCGCATGACTTGGGTGTACGTGCTGGCCAAGAAGAGCGACGTGGCTGAAACGTTGAAGACGGATTGGTTCCCGATGGTGGAGCGGCAACAAGACCGTCTAGTCAAGTCAATCCGCACCGATCGAGGGGGAGAGTTCCTGAGCAAGGAGTTTGGGTTGTGGCTGAAGAAGAATGGTATTCGGCACTCCCTCACCATGCCATACTCCCCTGCAATGAACGGCATCGCCGAGCGAGCGAACCGCACAATCACGGAGGCGGCACGCGGGTTGCTCATTGAAGCCGGGCTACCCGACTATTTCTGGCCTGATGCGGTGCGGAGCGCGTGTGTGGCCAAGAACAGAGCCTTGACTCATGTGGGAGCAGACAAATGGGTGCCCTATGTGGAGTGGCTAGGAAGGAAGCCAAAGGTGGATATGCTTCGGGTGTTCGGGTGCATGTGCATGGCGCTCGTGCCTAAGCATCTTCGGCACAACAAGCTTGGTGCCAAGGCGGTGTGGGCCGTGCACTTCGGCATGGCTCAAAACAGCAAGGGATGGCTTCTTTGGGACCCATTCACCAAGAAGTTCTTGGTGAGCAGGGACTGCAAGTTCATGGAGAACTTCATGTACAAGGATTGGAAGGCGGAGAATGAGGCGAAGATAGGCGTGCGGTTTGGGGAGGTGAAGAGTTCCGGTTTGGAGCATGTGGAGCTGCCTTTGGAGCTGAGCAGCGGCAGCACAACCACAAGGCAATCCTCCCTTGTGAATGGGGGAGAGGAGGCCAATGATGCAGAGGAAGAAGAGGAGGAGGTGCAGCAAGTGAGCGAGCGTGCATCGTCACTCCCTTCCCGTACTACGAGTGCTCCACGGATTCGAGCCACACCGCAGCAACGCCAAGGCCTTGAAGTCCCTGCAGCTGAGGAGGAAGGAAGGGGGAAGAGGAGAGTTCAACCCCCTAATAGGCTGACCTATGATGCGCCGGGAAAGCATGGCAAGACAGCCCTGGCTGGAGCGGCAATGATGGTCGGAGACGACGAGGAGAGTGACTACGAGGAGTGTGCCTTCGCGTTCTTCTCTCCGGTGGAGATGCCGGGAGAACCAGCAACTCTCAAGGAGGCTTTGGAGAGTAGTGATGCTGAGGAGTGGAAGAAGGCCATGGAGAGTGAGCTGAAGAGCATCGAGCAGAATGACACGTTTGAATTGGTGGAGCTACCGGAGGGGCGTACGGCGATAACGTCCAAGTGGCTCTTCAAAATCAAGTCGGATGCCGACGGCAAGATCGAGCGCTACAAGTCTAGGCTTGTAGCCAAGGGGTACCAGCAGAAGGAGAAGGTGGACTTCAAGGAGCTGTTTGCCCCTGTGGTGAAGCCGACGACGCTGCGAACCCTATTCGCGGGAGCCGCCATCAAAGGATGGGTAGTAAAGCAAATGGACATCGTAACGGCATTCCTTAACGGCATCCTTGAGGAGGAGATTTTTATGGCGCAGCCAGAGGGGTTTGATGATGGTAGTGGCAGAGTGTGGAAGCTGAAGAAGGCCCTCTATGGGCTGAAGCAGGCCCCTAGGCAATGGTACATGAAGCTGCGCGAAGTGTTGGAGGGGATCGGCTTCACTCCCTCAACGGCCGATCACTCCTTGTTCATGCTTGGCGAGGGGGAGCAGAGGAGTTTCATGGTGGTTTATGTGGATGACATCCTCATTTTCTCACCCTCTTCTGACCTTGTGAAGGAGGTGATGCTGAAGCTTCAAGACAAGTTCAAGTGCAAGGCCCTTGGTGACGTGAGCTTCTACCTTGGGCTCCACATCGAACGAGATGTGGAGAAGCGGTGCATGCGGGTGCATCAACGAAAGTACCTGGAGGCATTGGCTGCCAACTTTGGGCAGAGTGAAGGCCATGTGGCTACACCCTTTCCCTCTGGGTTCAAGTGTGTGAAGGGACCAGAGGAGGAGAGCGTTGGTGAAGAGGAGAGGCGCCGATTTCACTCGTTGGTGGGCAGCCTCATGTATGCGGCGGTAAACACCCGACCGGACGTCGCGTT